TTTTTTGTTGTTGACATCTCTCTTCCCTGGGGAGCAGTCACTTTTAAGGGAAACTTCAGTTTATTCCAGCTTGATTTGTCAACATGAACTTGCTCTAGCCAGTGAGAGCTCTTTAAACACTCATTTAGCACAAATGAGTCAGGAAAAGGCACAGTGAAGTTACTTCCCTGCGGATACAAAAAAGGCTGTAATTTAGATAAATTGGAAGGAAGTCTTGTATAGGCTGCTAGCTTGGTGAAAAGCAGCTATTGTAGACTGTACTAGATGGGACACAAATCAATGCGTCCTTCCCTTATGCGGAAAGGAAGAAGGATTCAGCCCAAAGACTGGATTCCATCCAGCTTCTTCAGCTGAGATACAGTTCCAGTCATGTAAGAGAGCAAAGTACAAACAAATCCTTATTGGTCCTTTTTAATACTGAAGCAATTAAGATAAAGCAAACACTCTAAGCACCAGAGTTCCCATAATTATATTGAAAAGTTTTTCAAATACAATGTGCCCTACTTAGTCTGGGAAGCCTGATCACCCTGGAATTAGTGAATATTCCTTCATAAAAGACAAGCAGGTATGCACAGTAGCACTGGCCTCTGATTTTCATGTTCTTTTCCTCCCATTTCAAAGCTGTGGTTGCCCTAGCAGTGCTGAAGGTGATAGAAGAGCTTAGCACTGAATTCTTACAGTGGGACACTGGACAGTGTTTTTCAAGTGGGGTCTGTTCCCTCCACTAAGTATTGTCTGTTTTCAGCTAAAGGGAAAAAAACAGATAGAGGGAAGATAAATGAAGTAATACAAAGGTAAAGAAGGGTGAGTGGGACAGAATGAGGAAGGCATGAGATAGGCAAGTGCAAGTATATCAGAAGAAGGGGAGAGCATTTTAGGTGGTAGAAGAGTAATAAAGGAAGGTGAGGAGTGAGTGAAGAGCTGTCCTTGCTCTAGGCAGTGTGCCTGCCTTTCAGCTGCCTGTTCTGCGGCCACCCATGTCTATTAACCTATGCTGAGGGTAACTTCTTTCCTCTCCAGTATGAGCCACAACATCTGTTTCCTAATATCGTCTGTTTCAGTTCAGTGGGGACCTAACTGTTGAGAAGGTGGGTTGGCATTGGAGGGTTGCAATAACCAAGTCCACCACCACTGTTGGTCATATTAGGAAGTTTGTGCTGGAAGTAAACTTGATGCCTAGCTGTGGAAGCTCAGCAGAGAGACTGTTGACTTGATTGGAAACAGGCTGTCTGTGCGTTGTAGGGAGGGAAGCTTTAGATGGGACTGTGGAATTGATAACAGTTAAAACCTGTGCCTTTTGCAGTGTCATAAAGATGAAAAATTTGACAAGCCCTCTTCCTTTGGCTTGGTTATCCACAAACATTGTCACTTGTTCTCAATCAGGGACTTGGATATATGTAGCTGTGTGAATGACTTAATCTTGTTTTCTCAGAGATTCTGCTAATGCATAATGCAGCTCAGGCATGTTTGCGTTGCTGATAGCACAAGGTCTGTTTCTCCAGGCTTTAGGACTAAACTTGAAGGCAGTTAATTCTCCTGTCTTGCAAAAAGCCTGTTGATGTGATCACAGTTAGGCTGTGTGCTATAAAGACCAGATTTGGGATGAAATAGTTGAATTAATACTTTCTGAATATCTTCAGGCCACATCTTCGCTGAACAGGTCATTTAGCTCTTTTAGTTAGTTTGTGTAGTACAGCGTGGCTAAATTTACAGTGGCCCAGCTTAGAGAGCAGGTATACATGGTAAAAGCATGTAGTTGTTATAAAGTCTTTGGAGTCACTACAGAAGCCCTCTCCAGGCAGAAATCTTTGAAGATTTTATTGGGCTTTCCAGTTCATCAGAACTGACATCATTCTGGGAGGACATAATTATCTGTTTTACCGGAAGGGAATAGGCAAATTGCCACAAAGCTAAGCTGTGACTCTTAAACAGTCGTTTAGCTATACAACCCGTCTTGAAATGTGGGCAAGATTTCTTAAAGCACTCAGAAAAGCGTATTAATGTTTTAAACTAGCTTCTCAATGCCTGTAAGTAGTCTGCTGCAGCTGCTGTTAAGATATATATATATAAGTATACCATATTGGTTATTAATATATTTCTGAGAGATTGTCTTTATTACAGTGTACTTTCTAAAAAGCATGAGTTGGTCTTAGCAGCCTGTAGTTCTTCCCTCTGATGCCTTCCCCTTACGTCTCCATGTTTCTGCCCTGGGTGGCAGACCAAAGCAGTAGTATTTCCCTGTATTTTCCAGATCCCAGATGAATGGAATTTCAAGAGGAAAAGTCTTAAAAGGCTTCAGAACATATGCAGATCTCAAGAATCCAAATTATACTTTGTAAATTTTATTGACTGCAGTACAGTTTGTTTTGCCTAGGGCAGTTAAGTATAGGTTAAGCTTTGAACATGTGAGACAACAAGGACTTTAGATACAGTGAACTGTCACCAACAAATCTCTCAAAAATAACACAGGTCCAGAGCAGGGAAGTCTTATGAACACAACTGATGTCCTTTCTGGACGTACACACTTTCTTTTAGAATTTGCACCCATGTCAGTGATAATGCTGGGAGAGAACTCAGAAGCCCGCCATTCAAAAGCTCCCTTCCCCAGTCCTTACAAACCCTGTGTATGTTCTTTGCCACCTTCCTGACTTCATCTGCTCTGCGCTGCAGCCTGGTTCCCAGCAAGTGCCTGGCTGAGAGGGCGGGAGCCACATACCACATCTGATGATACCAGCATCACCTGCAGTAAAATATTCACGCAGAATAAGCAGTAAGGAAAAATTGCATAGAAAAGTCAGTTGATATCACCATATATACCAGAGTCTCAACTGCATAAGAAGAAACATGTCACTAAATTTAACATACCTTGTGAAATCTTTTAGAACTAAATTCATCCTTTGCTTGAAAACAAACCAATTTGGCCTATTTGACATTTAAGGTAGCTTTGAAATGGGGATTTAAATAATCACTTTTTTTATATTGACCACAATGATTTTTATTAAGCTTTTGGGAGGGTGAAATTTGAGAAGGGCAAAACCTCCCATGAAAAGCCCACACTCTGATGCATATGTATGAGTACTGTTTTCTCCTTGGATTTTGAGTGTGGGAAAAGGGGACTCTTAGTGTGCTTTCATGTTGCTGTTTTCTATCCCTTTTTTTTTTGTGCCAGGTCAGTACCCCATCTTTTTGAGGGTCCATTCAGCTTCTTTTAGTCTTGAATAGAAAAGCAAATCTTGGAAAAGAAATGTAACGCATGCTAACAGTTGTTATTCACCTTATGCCACATTTAGATCTCTTTATTTTTCTCACCTTAATTGCTAATAAGTGATTCAGATTTAACACAGTAAAGGCATTGAACTGGTGGGTGGAAAATGTTGAAAAAGCTGCTGGCTCCCTGTGGAATACACAGTCCTCGAAAGCTTGGCCAGCATGAGCAGGCTTCCTTTTTTTGTCCCAAGCAAGCCCTTTTCCAATTGGAACAGGCAGTTCTGTACTGTTGTCTTATCTTGGTAATGTAACACTAACAATAACAGTGAGACACCGGAGGAATGTGAGGAGCTTCAGTGTAGAAAAAATGTAACCAACAGGGGAAAAAAAATCTCCACTTATCTGGAAAAATCGATACACACAAGACAATTGGAGAAGGGCAAGTAGACCTGGAGTTCTGTGGTCAGCATGATTGTCTCTGCTCCTGGAGCTTCAATCCACAGGAGATTTTCTGACCTTATTTGTGGTAGAACAGTTTGGAATAAAGTGGTTTAGAGAATGTCCTCCTCACCACCATGGATCTGTTTGTACAAGGATTTTGTGTGTTGTCAGTACCCAGCTTGCTTTTAGCATCGCATTACAGTTGGCTTCTCAGACAGTCTAGACTTACTGTGGGTTTGAGTAAACAAAAAGTTTTGTAATACTCCTTATTTTTGCATTAACTATGCCATTAATGGTTGTAAAAATTGGTAGTTCTGGTCAGACCCTGGGTGGCAGTGCTGCAAACCATGGTAGATATTTTAGCCTATAAACTAAGGAGCATCTCAGAAACCACCCTAAGTGTGTGCCAGCAGAGGTTACAACGTTTTCATCCTTGGAATTACATCCTGGCCCCTATCCATACCATCAAATTCCGCCTTCACTCACAGCACAGTGTTCTCATTAGGACAGAGTGATAAGGGCAAAGTAAGTCATGATGCAGGGCTGTTTCTTTGCTGGTATGCACCAACATTACAGAAATAAGGCCAATCTTCTGGGCATTTAACTGGATATATTGGGTTTTTACTATGGCTGAAATTAAATTTACAACTTTTGGTTTGTTACAAAATTACTAGAAAATAACCAGGAATTAGTAATGATTCTTTATATTATCCGAAGTCTTAAACGTGTCCTGAGATAGTTTTACTTGGAGAAAGGCCAATATAGGAAACCATTTGTAGATACTTTCATATCACAAGCAGATTTGAAAATTATATTTGACACATTTGCTATTGAATATATTTCACTATTAGAAAATATTTCCATAATAGAACTGTACTTCAAAATTGCAAAAAGTTCCTTTGTTCCTTGGAACACTCTTTTTGTGGCCAAAATACCAGTCCTAACTATGGTATTTTCAGCTATCACACAGTGCAGTTACTGGGTTCTCCACATATACTGATGATGGAAGAACCACACCAAACCTGTCATATTTTGTGAACTTGTTGTCAAGCTCTGTCTATCAGCCATGCCAGACCTTGAAACATACACTTAATTCCCATAAGATATCTCTCTTTATAGGACTGGGCTGTGATAAACTTGGCTGTGGATGTGGAAGAGCAGCAGTAGAGAGGTAGGGTTTAGTGTTCCAGGATTATAACTAGACTGATTGCATTTTGTAGAACAAAAAGCAGCCCAGAGTTCTGCCTTTACACAGCATAGTACTTCTAGCAGTCTTGAAGGTTGTCATTTGGGCTCGTTGAAGCTTAATTGACTTTTCTTCTCACAGATACCCACATTTCTAGAAAGCAGAAATGACCATGACTGCCAACAAGAATGCCAGTGTCAACAGCAGAGCTGGAGGGAGTAAAGTGCCTCAGGACACTCTGGATAGGTAAGTGGTGAACTGCAGGCTTTGTAGATTATGAGAAGGGTATGTCTGTGTTTGGAACAAACACATCTCTGTTCAAAGGTAAGCGACATCTGTGCTGACACAGAGAGAGTTTTGCAGTGCTGAGAGAAGTTTTGGTAGGGATTAGAGGAACCGAGGTATGAAAAAAGTTCTGCTTCTGACGTATTTCTGTTGAGCTATTGCTGCAGCTAGCTGGTTATGATGAAAGTGATTACAAGGCAGGACCTTTGTGGAAAGCACTGTGTAGACCTCAGGAGATTTGAAATAAATTTCTTGGCCATAGGACTGCATGTCAACTTTTCTGCATTGCCAGTCTCCAGATTGTATTTTGTATTGGCTTCTGTCAGATTTTCTCTGATGTCTTGTCAGAGGGTGGGCAGAGTCTGCTTCCTGTTGCAGGTCAGGCAGTGAGTGTGAAAGGGCTGAATGTAAAATACAGGGCTCATTTCGGTTGCTTTGCTTATTTTCCCTCCTTGCTGTACTATTAAGTCATTTACACAGTAAATAGATCACCTTGATCGTTCACAATTGATAGGTTACTCCTAGCTGGCAGCAGTACTGCAAAGGAGGGTTATACTGGGAGGACGTTGCCCTTTCAAATACATGAGACTGTGATTCTGGTGAGTAGATCAGAGGTTGACAATTTGATTTTATCCACTTGAAAACGAAACGTCAAAGACAAAATGTCCCTACGTTGGCAGCTGCAAGGTAGAATAGCTGGCATAGATGGGGAAGTTCAGACAGAAACTGGGGACAGCTGGCTCTGATCCTATCACAGAGCTGTAGATCAACTTGAAAGTGATTTTGAATGCTGCCTTGGTTTGGCATACCTGCCATTGTATTCTGAACTTTTCCAACCACAAACAATGGAAAAGGGAAAATATAAACTAAATTCTGAGATTTTCAGGATGGAAGCACTGGAAGAGGTGGTGGTTTTGTGGTTGGTGTTTTTTTTTTTTTTACCGGTTTATTTCTTTTCTGTCTTTTATTTAAAGGAAAACCTCTTTTTAATGATGCATCTCTGTTTTGCATTTAAACACCCTGGGTTTGTTCTCAGTTTTGGTTGTCTTCCCATATTTCATGCACATATGGCTGCCTCTGCATTGCCTTCTGTATCTAATAACTTGTTTCTCTATTTCAACTCTCTGCCACACCTTCCCGCTTATGTAGACATACTGTTGAATCACAATAATTCCAGGCAATTTTCCTGAGTTAGAGAAAATGGCCTCATCCTGATTACCAAGGGGCAGGTTGGCCTACAATGCAGCACTGAATTAATAATCACGGGCCTCAGGCAAAACCCTGGCCATCATCCCATTTCTGCTAGTGTCCTTCTTTGTGGCGTTGTCACACCCTTCTCATGTCTAAATCTCTCATTAGGGTGATTTGCCTTTCCTCCTCCCGCTGCTGTTCTCCTTCCACTTTTTAAACAGTGTCATTGACTAAGGATGTAGATAACCAGCATCCAGTCTAGTGTCTTTTATTAGGCACATTATGCTGTGTTAAATCTGAACAGAAATGGACTTGATATCATTGTACTCTTCCCAGTACTTTGTTAGTTTGTGCATTTGGCATCTTAGTTCAAAACAGTAAAAACGTAAAATAAAGTGCTGGGGGAGGGTGGCTAGAGGAATTTCTAGAGAGATATTCATATGTGGCTATTAAAACCAGATCCCTAATGATAGCTGGCATTCTCAAGTTGTTTATCATCCTCCAATGGGTGCAGACAGATTGGTGCTGAGAACTTGGGTCTAGACTTTAGCAAATTTTGGACATACTCTTTTGTTTTAAAATCTTTTCCATTCTGAATAGCTTAGAAAGTACTGTGGGATACTAAGTTATTGGATAATAACTGTCAAATAAACTGTCTTTCCTTATCATCACCATCTGTTTTGATTAGAATTTGTCAGGGAAAGATTTTGTAAGTACAAGTATGGACCTGAAGCTAGGAAAATCTTTGTGTTGCACTTGCGTGACAAGTGAGGAGATGAATAGGTTGTCACACATGTAATCTTCTTCACCTGTCTTTGTGAAACCCTGTAAGAAGATGTTATTTGAGTCAACCATGAGGTTTCTTCATTTTAGTCAGCCTGTAAATCAGTGGAGTAAGTGCTGGCATAATAAAAGTTTAAGGCTTGCAGGATTTATTGCAAACATGTTCAAAGATCCACTTAAACTGAACAGTCATCATCTCTGTTTTAGTATGGGGTTTGACTGGAGATTTGGAAAGCTGCAAATGTGCTTTCTCTGTAATCTGGGAGAGTAGTCTCGGTAAGTACTGATACTAGCATAACACAGGTGTATTAGTCTCCTGATGGCTAAGATATCTTTTTAGTGTTATTTTCTTGTCAGTCCTAGTTTTGGTGGGGTTTATTATTGCCAGACTGATCAGTTGGACTCAATGATCATAAAGATCTTTTCCAACCTAAATGATGCTGTGGTTCTATGACACAAGGTATGTTTCAGTGATACAGTGTCACTATCTGGTCCAACCTTTTGTGATTCCTTATGGGTCAGAAGCAAAGGTCAGTGAAGTCAATAGAAGCCTGATTATTTTGGCTGTGAATCAGACTCTTGTAGGTCATGGATTTAAGTTTTAATAACAGTTAATTAATTAAGTCTTCACTGGAAAGCTGGTGCCTACAAGTAAACATCTATACAACTGGATGCTTTTTAAGCAACAAGATTCTCGCAGTAACTAAGATTCTCTTGGTCCTCACTGGAGTGTGGATCCACTGGCATGAGGCACCACAGCCATTTTTCCACCAGCATTGTGCTAATGACAGTTTAGGAGATAAGGGAGAGAGAGACCAGACTGAGGACATTATTTGGGAGGATAACTGTGAGTCTCACCTGAGAAGCTGGTTGTGAGATTCATGGGTTTCTGCTGTGAACACAGGAGGGTGAAACCTTTGTACCTGAAGAAAGTGAAGTGATTTAAGTAAATATCCACACTAATGCCCTCTTTCTGAAGTTATCTGAAGTTCCTTCCACAAGCGTTACAAATGGATATTTTTGTGTGTCTCAGGTGAGACAAACTTGATTGTGCTCTGAATAGGGAAATACTGTAGAAAGATGACAAGGGTGCTTGAAGGTATAGAACATTTTCACTACAAGGCAAGAATAGGTTGACTGGGAGTCTTCATTCTCAAAAGGAAAGGATTGGAGGGGAATAAGAGGTAATAGAAGTCTCTGAAATTCTATATGGAACAGAGACGATAAATAGGGAAAAATATCTTCATTTAAGAACAAATATGAGTCAAATGAAACTAGAAGATGGCAGGTTAAAAGTTGGTTGAAAAGAAGGTACTTCTCTGCAGCATGTTTTTAAACTATGGAACTTACTGCTACAGGATATTGCAATCAGACAAATTCATGGACCAAGGGTTTTTAACCACAGAAGCAAAACCTCTGAGTCAGGAGACTGTTAAGCTGGTTAAGTACCATTGCATGCCCACCTTGTTCTTACTCTTCTCTAGGCACCTGCAGTCAGTGATAGAGCCTGGGCTGGGCTTGTTCTTTGATCCAAGCCAGTGGGGATGTTGTTTGGAGTTACAGGAAGTGAATATTAGAGAGTTTGCAAAAGGATTGTTTTACTTAACAAAATGAGACTTACTGGCTTTTGGTCAACTTCAAGGACACAACTTTAATCCTTCCTTGTGAGTCACTGAGGTGACTGCCAAGGAGCAGGAGGTTAGGAAAGCACCTTATGTGTAGCTGAAAGTGACTTCTTAGCAATTCTGGCAGCAAGCAGCTCTGTGAAATTTTACTACTTCTTCACATGCTTGCAACTGGCATGTGACCCTTTTGCATCAAATGACAACTTGGGTTGATTGCACTGTACACAAGAAGATCAGTGTAACTGAGGAAACCTTAAGAGAACAGAAGTCAAAGAAAAGGCATAGCGGTGTTTGCAGCTTTCTCCCTGCAATGTGGCTTACTTTCACTTACCAGATGATTTAATATTTATCTGGAGTCTTTGTGTTTTATGCAGAAACTTTATTTGAATTAATGAATTAATTTATAAAGGATTTGTCCTAATCTTGTGTTTTCTCCACCGCAAAGGTAAATCCAGGTCTGTTTGACTTAAACACCTTGGTTATAGATAGCTACAGCTAGCTATACTATTCTCCACACTTGGATAAAATTTTCTGTGTGGATGATGTTTCCATCTGTACTTAACAGAAAGTTTAGTGGGATGTTTGATGCCAGTTCAATTTGTGTTATGATGCTATGCTGTGGGAAAAACTGCTGGTGTGTTTGCTGCTGCTGTGTGCTGAACTGCTTCCCAACCAACCAACCTACCGCAAGGGGCTGGCTCAGGGAAAAGCTCTCTCTGGAGGCGACGCGCAGGTGTAGATGCAGAAAACAGTGACAGAGAAGGTCCTGACGTTGTTGATGGGTTTGCACACCCTCAGGGAGTTTTGTGCATGGTTGGGTAGGTTGCCAAAGTCCCAGAGGCAGGGACTTAGAGCATCAAGAGGCCAGTGGTGTGAGTTCAGCTAACGTACTCCGGACATGTCCCTGCCACCCCCGGCTGCAGCAGACAAGGCAGGGCCGGGCGCTCACCTCTGCGGCAGAGCTTCTGGGAGCCGAGTGTGGCTGAAGGCAATGAGTCGCTCCACACTGAACTGCTGAGATGTATCTTCCTGCCAGAAGTATTTGCCTCCTGCTCAGAAATACTAGTGAGACTCTTGTAAGCCCTTTATGAATTTGTGAAACAAACCCCATAGAAAATGTTTATTACTTTAAAAAAGAATCAATGTTTTGACAGTGAGCTTGAGAAAAGGAAGGACAGTGTACTGTACAGTGAGTACACCTTTATGACAAACAATTAACAGGAGCTAATAGGTGGAAATGGTATTTTGCATTTTGGATTCATAGAATAAGCCGATTTTGCATCAGAATTTCTGAAAGGTAATCTTTTTCCAGGTAACAGTGAAAATAGAATTGATTTCAGGGGCAGTGGCGTAGCAGTGCTT